GGCAAATGTCAAAACCAAAAATCACCATGTCTAATTCCACATCCTTCACAACTTTTGAGCTGTACTTTTGATGCTCGCAAAAGGGCTGAAGAGACAACCAATACCGAACGACTCTTTCAACTCCTCATAAAAAAATGCACAAAATGTAGGAAGGATGGCCATCAGGAGTCCTCCTACTTTGAAATCATTGGCTACCCTGCCCATTGGAATACAACAAACCCAAACAGCCCTTATGCGCAAATCACGGCTCGATTAGTAATCGGCCTCCCATAGCAAACATGGTGCCACTTCAATTCCTTCCTCATCGAGTGCAATTTCTAGCCTCTCTAATGAGCACTACCAATAACTGATGGAACTCTTGTAGCCTAATGCCAATGCCGTCTCTATCTTCTTCGGTGTCCCTCTCTCAATTGCTAAAATTCCTTGGATTATTGGTATTAGGACTTCAGCCCACATATCTTGTATTTCAAACTTGTCTAATGCCACATACATTTTGATTTACTATCAATCTCTCACACTACCCATGGGTTCCTTGACCCAAGTTACATATATGGGTCATATTCCAATTTTTTCTCACTTATATCTTTACAATGTTCTCTTAGGTCCTAATTTTGAATATAATTTGTTTCCGTTAGTCAACTTACTAAATCATCTAATTGTATTGTCATTTTTTCCTCTATTTGTTTAATTCATGACCAACACACCAGGAAGATGATTAGGATGGGTGAAGAACTTGGAGGCCTCTATCGTCTTAAGCAATTTACTCCAACTGCACTTCAAATCACGACCAATCCCACTACTATTCCTGACCTATGGCATCTTCATTTAAGTCATCATTAAATATTGTGATAGTTGTATTCAAGGCAAACACACATGCCTCCCTTTCAAATTGGTTGAGAATAAAATTACTTTTATTTTTAATCGCATTTATTGTGATATTTGATGCAGATATTCTACACTATCTATAACTGGTGTACACTATTTTCTTATAATTCTTGATGATTTCTTATGTGTTACTTCGAAATACTTCATGTGTTTTAAATCTAATGCATTTACTTGTCTTACCAACTTTATTAAAATGGCCCACACACAATTTAACTGCCCTATCAAACATTTTCAATCTGATAATGGTTGAGAATTTCTTTCTCATCTCATGCAACAATTCTTCCTTGACCATGACATCATTGATGAATGTACTTGTATTGAGACACCCCAACAAAATGGTGTGACTAAATGAAAGCACCATCACCTATTAAATATAGGTCAATGTCTTCGCTTTCATGCACATTTACCTATTTCCTTCTAGGGTGAGTAATACTTACTGCTACCTGTTTAATTAATTGCATACCAACCCCCTCTCTCAATAACAAAACTCCATATGACCTACTTTTCAACAAAGCACCTAACTATGATCACATTCGTATATTTGGATGTCTTTGTTATGCACACACTTTAAACGTCGATCGAGATAAGTTTTCCACTTATGGCACATCATGCATATTCCTAGGCTACTCTCAAACCCCACATACCTATTGTGTCTATGACTTACAAACCAAGAAGATATTTCTATCTCATGATATATGCTTTGTGAAATCTATTTTTCCCTTTGCTAATACCATGCATCATTGTAACCCCACATTACCATCCGCCATGATGAATAATCCACAATTGTTAGATGTGCCACGCACTACCTCACCCACGTCCCATGATTCACATAACGCTTCTGCCTCTTCTCCCCAGTCTTTACCCCAGCAGATATTGAACAACACAAGCCCTCACAACTAGATGATGATGGTTCTATCAATAACCTAGACACCGTCACATTCCCACCCCCATCCTTACCCCAACCATCTAGACATCGATGCACTATCACTAGTCCTATGTATTTTCAGGATTATATTTGCTCAAGTCTACCTTTGGAGGACTCATGTTCGTCATCCCATTCCGATCCTTTCTTAGGTATGGTTCACTCTTTACCTAATTTCCTCTTATATTTTCTATTTAGATCGAAACATTTTGCATTTCTCTCTTCTGTCTCCAAAAATGTTTAGAATCCTACTCTTTACTCTAAAGTTGTCCTTAAGCCTCATTGGCAAAAGGCCATTGCTGCTGAAATTCAAGCCTTGGAGATCAATCATACATAGGCTCTTGAAAATCTCCATCCTGGTAAAAAGGCCATTGGTTGTAAATGTGTCTACAAACAAAATTGCAAGTGGATGGTTCCATTAAACACTATAAAACTAGTTTAGTTGCCAAAGATTTCACTCATGTAAAAGGTCTTAATTATAATGGTACCTTTGCTCATGTGGCTCAACTTGTTACTATCCGTTGTCTTCTTGCAATAGTTGCAACAAAACATTGGATTATTCAACTGTTAGATATTTACAATGCCTTTCTCCATGGTGGTCTTGATGATGAAGTGTATGTGAAACCTCCATAGAGATATTGTCATCAGGGAGAGATGCATGTATGTCGTCTCCATAAATCTCTATATGGCCTCAAACAAGCCTTTCGCCAATGGTTATTGAAGTTATCTCATACCCTCATCCTTGCATTTTTTTGCCAATCGATGATAGATCATAGTCTCTTCATTAAGACCTAGGGCACAACATTTACTACCATCCTTATTTATGTTGATGACAATTTAGTTGCTGGAAATGATCTATCTGCCATCAATTACATTAAACGACACCTTATAAACACCATCAACATTAAAGACCTTGGTGATCCTAAGTGTTTTTTTGGGAATTGAGGTTGATTTTTCACCCATCAGTATCTTTATAAGTTAAATTCTCTTAAGAGTAAGGATATTGAGATTAAGGCTGAAAAAGAAGATAAGAGGAATGACAAGTTACATATGATGAGGAGTAAGTAAATGAATTTAGGTAGAGCTCAAGACAATAGTGATTTGAGTGATGAGGGTGGTAAGAAGAAGGGCAAGGGTTGGACAAGTCTCGTGGTAAGCGGTGTTATAGCTGTGGTAAGTCTGGATGCTTTATTAAGAAAATATCCCAAAAGAGAGGAAAAGTAGAAGGATAAGATGAGAGGTGAGGCGAAGTGGGTATAGGGTCAATTGATGACTTTAGTAAGGTTTATTAAGAGAAAACTTAATTACTGAATGTGCATCTGTGTGTAACCATTTCTGCATGTGAGTGATTGCTTAATTCTATTGCATGATTATAAGTTACATTTTAATGTATTTGATATGTGCATTTGTATGAATTTGATGTAGTTTGATTACTTTGTGTAATTGTTTGTATGCATAGTAGATTGTGATGCATTAGTAGTATATATGTTGATTATATTTTGGTAAGGTGGAGTACAGATGCCTAGGGATACATTGGTGGTTTGCATCGGGAATGTGGAGTGTGATATTTGAATCATTAGTGTAGAGGTGATTAAATGTTGAAATCATTTATCTATGAAGACCCTGATTAGATAGAGTGTGAGAGAGGGACTCTATCACTTCTGTTAGGTGGAGACCCATTATCTACTTAAGTTGGAAGAAGTGATGTGGTGATAGAGTGTTATTCCGTGAACTTAGGATCTATTGTAGTTTACTGTAAGACATCAGTCTAGTGAGCATGATGGTCAATTAGAGGGGTATGTGTTCTCGAAGTGTGAGCAACATGAAATGGGGTAAGATTAGTATGTTGAGATCTTTTCGTAGGGTCATATATGCATTTGTTGCATATGTGTTGGCCGTGTATTGATTAAATTGACGTTAATCTATTGATCTATGTGAACGTGTCTTGAAAAGATCTGTGTGTTATCCTATGTTATATCTTCATTGCATGTTTATTTGCTCTTGATTGTTCCCTATGATATCTACTTCTACTTGGATATTTGTTTGTAAACTTAGCCTTGCTGAGTACGTAGAGCAGATATGGTATGTGTTTTGGGTACAAAACATGAGGTAAGGTCTGTGATCCCAATTTTGTTGGTTATCTTAATTATGCAAATATTAACTTTGTGTTTTGATTGTTTGTTGGTTGATTGTGTATCAAAGTAGATATTTGTTTTGTTTTGATACTTAGTGTATCTCAGGCTATGATGCAAATATCGGAATTTAACTTCACAAGCCTTGGTCAATGGTGAATTAAATACCAGCAGCCAAATCCAAATGCTTGACCTGGCACATATATATTAACTCTTAGATGACTTTGAATTTGCCCCATTTAACCTTATTAGTGGTCCGACAAAAGCCTAATCTAACCCTATATATATGTTGTTTCTACCCTAGCCATTTAGTGTATGATTTGTGTGATAAGATGAAGAAAACATGGCTGCCCCTACTGCAAGAATCCGGTTGCCATAGTTGAGCAAAAAACGGTGGTCTCCTCTTGGTGTTTTCGCCCCCCCCCCCCTTTCATTCATATATCATTGCTTTCTTCTTGTACTTTTGTGGCTTGCAAATCATCATCGCACCGAGATGAATATATTGGTTGTGGGTTGGAACTGTTTTGATTGATTGTTTGGTAGAGAAAGATAACGTGACACTGAGCAAGAAAATCACCGATTTGACGATCATTGGAACGAACTTCCACAAAACCCATGAACAGCTTCAAAAGTCAAGTTGGAGGCTAACTGCATAAACAGTCTTTATCAATGATCTCCTCTATGGCAAGACCACCCACTCCCATCTTACCCAAGACCTTCTCTCAAATTCTTTTCACTCCCCCATCAAAGGAGAATGTGTTGTTAAAAAACATAACTATGATTTTTATTTTTATTTTTCAAAAAAGGGACAACCATTTGCTCCAAAATTCCTGTTAAAGATATAATTTCATATCCTCGTGATATTATCTTCAAGATTGCTAGCCGTAGATTATTTTCATAGCTTTTAATCAATATATGATCATTCTTTTTATCCTAATTTGTAACGTATAACAATTATACAATTTCTCATATTCCTTTCAATAACGTGTAATTATATTTTTCATTTTCCAATGTATTTCTTGAATAAATTCATTATTTTCCTGGTTTATTTGTTGTAAAAATTTCACAATGTTTGTACATAATTGGTTCGATTACGCACATGGTGATACATCAATCATAATGTAATAACAAGCAAACTTATAGTCGATATTCTACCACATCAACTTCTGCATTTCCAGCTCCGGCCGGTTAGAGATCTTCAACAGTCAGGGAGGGATTAAGAAGATAGAGCTCTGAAGGGGAACAAATACAATACAATTTGTTAAATAACAAATTTTTTCATGTCTGATCAGGACTCAAAATCCGGAGTAGATTTTCATCTGACTGAGGATGTTCTCAAAGTTGTCATTAGAATGCTCAATTGGATGTGAATGCATTCCTTCATATGTTGTCACAACGATATCTCCATCTTCAAATAACCTTTGAATCTGCTTTTTAACATTGCAACCTCTATGTGTACACCTATAGTAACCCCTGTACGTACGAGAAAAAGTAATATAGGTTAATTGTTTAATTATTAAGCTATTCGATTTCTGATATACGAGAGAGTTCAAGATTTAAGGCTCCCTAAAACAACAAAGTCAATATTACAAGGAGGGTAAAGATCATCCATAGCAAAGCTGCCTTTCATTCCCTTGTTTTACTTCTAACACACCCCTGTGGAACTTTGATTTTGACAGTTGAATGTTGAATTAATCCATCAATCTTTAATTGGCAATCCTAACTAATAAAGAAAGAGTAATCCGCTTAGCTAGTGAAACTGATCAGGAATTCATTTACTAAGATTAAGTTGAAAAGAGAACACACCTTGGAAATTTGTTGTTCTTAACAGACTTCTGTCCATATTTCCTCCACCGGTACCCATCATCTAATATGTCAACCTTGCTTCTTGTTTGAAAAGCATATCTAGGCAATTTTCTACGCCTGTTTCTGCCCTTTTTGTTGCCCGATTTCACCTCATCAGTTTCCGGCCCTTTGATTAGGCTAACCTCGTCTTGGAATTCAGCCTGTTGTGCATCAGTATTCACCAACAAATTAGAAGGTGCAGGCGAATATGAAGATCCAAATATAGTTGCACAATTCTCCATAATCAGATTGTGGTTTGTGGTTATTACAAACGCGATATATTTTATATATCATATTAAAGTTGAAAGGTGGTATACTTCAATTAATATATACTTTTGTTCATCCCCATGGATCACGATGGGAGTAAAAAAATGGCACGTAAAGTCAAAAAGATTAGAGAAAATGTTCGTTACTTTAGCACAAATATTATTTTAGAGATAGAAATTTAGGCGGGTTCATCAATCATAATTATTATTCTGAAATTACGATCTACTTTTCTTGATGTCCAGTGATTTAATTTGACTACGTTCAGCTTTTGTGCCAACCCCAGAAGACGTCATTCTATATGCGCAGATAAAATAATATTTTATATGCCTTGATAAATATTTTAGCAAAATTATTAAAATTTAATCTGTCTTAATTGGGTCACACAACTTGAATTTAATTTTGATTAGAGTACTTAGCTTTTATTCTAGTTTCAAATTTCACTAGTACTCCACCGTACATGTGTATCCGGAATTCATGAAAATTATTTAATTGACAGCCATACAAACCTAACAAAGATCCATGTCATAAAGGTGTTTTAAAAAAAATGTCTTTTAACCTTTCAATTGGAAGAGATTACCAAGATCTTCATTTTACTATTTTCAATTCTATATTGCTATGTAGCCATTACATGGAAGTTTCGTTACGGCACGATTGTCAACTAATCAATTTTAATCTAATGGGAAAATAAGTGATGGAATTTGAAAGAGTGGTGAAACTTCGTTTGGCATTCATGTATAATCCTTTTATAATTGATCGAGTCACTTTTTGTCTTGTATTTCGTAATACTCACAAATACTACACATTTATTCACTATTCTCTTTTTGACACTTTATTTTTATGTAAATTATTATGTAATTCTGTATGTATAAATAACACTATTCAGTAAAGGTTAGTGATTCAAGTAAGATCTCATATATTTTTTAAAATGTAAGGAGAATTTGATAAACGATGGACTATAATAATTGAGGAATCTTTTTATTGCTTTTAAGTTATTTCTGTTGGACGAATAGTTTAATTTGTGATCTTTAATGGTTTTCATATATTTATTAAAACGTACAAGCTTGGCAGGGAAAAGTCCATTTCTTAGAAATTGAGAATTTTTTTTGCTAAACATACCTTAATAGTATTAGAAATCAATAACTCATTATTTTATTTTTAAACTTTCACGTCTTGTCTTTGATGACAATAAATGAAAATACTTCAATCACTTGCATTTTTAAATAAAAAGGAAAATGAAAAATATAAAATTAGGAACTAAATACGTGTCCCTCAGTTTAAACTATGCTCACATAAATCTTGAAAGAATAATTTCATTAGGCATATTTAGGCCCTGTTTGGTAGTCATTTTTTTCAAAATGCATTTTTCTCTTTCTTCTTTTCAACTACACATTCTTTATTAAAATAATATTACACATAAATTAAAAACTTTTTTTTATTTCTTAACCATACATTTCACATCAATTTACTATTCTAAAATACATTTTTATATAAAAATGTCTATCAAGTGCCCCCTTAATGTAATTAAAATATTTACAGAAATATGCGAAGTTAACGAAGTTATTATTATTGTTATTATTCTTCGTTTGAATTTGAAATTAAGGCGTGGAGGCGGAGACCCAGTTGGCAATGGGAAACCAACGAACCTGAGTCAAATAATGGGCGCCAAAAGTCAGCCCACGTGTTCATTGCTTAGATCCTTCTAGATAAGGAATATAGGGAGACAAGCATCAACTTCTATATTAGACGAAAATGCCATCTATAACAGATTTACAAATGATGCTTAAGACTTATGTGTAGGAATGTGTTTGATTGGCATGAAAAATATCATTTAAAAAAGAAAATATTGTTTTTGTTTTGAAAAAAAAATCAAAAATCTACTCTTCCCAAAGAAAACACTTTCCTTAAAAACAAAGAAAATTAGGTAGAGATGGCAAAAATCCCCATCCCGCCCCGAATGGGGAAGAAAAAACCGCTCCGTGAAGTAAAAAAATTAAATGGGGTAGCAAAAGGGGCAAGTCGCCACCTCGTCCAAGGCGGGGCCGGCGCAAGAGTGCCCACCCTGAACCCAACTAGGGATGGCAGTGGGTCAAACCGAGCCAACTCGGCTCGTTAACCCACGAGCTCGGCTCGGCCTCGTGGCGAGCTGAGCTCGTGGCTCATTTTTCACGAGCCGAGCTTCGGCTCGGCTCGCGCCCACGAGCGACTCGCGAGCTCGTGAAATTTATTTATTTATTTTTATTTTTTTATTTTTTTGCAAATTTTTCAAATTTTACTGATAAAATTTTATTTTTTTTCCACATTTTTGGACGAGTCGGCTCGTGGGCGCTCGGCGAGCTCGGCTGGCTCGACCCAATTGACATCCCTAAACCCACCCACGTTGTTATCACTAACATTAGGCATATTTTCAAAAGTTGGAAATATATTTTCAATGAAAAAAATAGTAGCCAAATATCCAAAGTAAGAATTCGAATGAAAAATTGATATTTTCTATAGAAAATAAATGCAATCAAACACACCCTAAGTGATTATAAGGCAATCAATATTACGTTTTTAATAAATATCTCAATTTTATTATTACAGATGGTCAGAATGTAATTAGCATATATCACTGCCATTGCACAAATGAAGCAAGTATTTACAACACACACACATACATCTTCCATCACTTGTTTCATTTACCATGTATAGCTCAAGGTTTCATCTATAAGTGTGTACACAAATTATTGTAAAAATATATCAAAAGAATATATGAGAATTTACCTTCTTCCTTCATCATCAATAATCCTCTATATCAAATTTAAAATGGTATTAGAGCATTCCCTTTCTTGCTGCCTCTTTTGACTTCTCTAACTTCGGCAAATGTCAAAACCAAAAATCACCATGTCTAATTCCACATCCTTCACAACTTTTGAGCTGTACTTTTGATGCTCGCAAAAGGGCTGAAGAGACAACCAATACCGAACGACTCTTTCAACTCCTCATAAAAAAATGCACAAAATGTAGGAAGGATGGCCATCAGGAGTCCTCCTACTTTGAAATCATTGGCTACCCTGCCCATTGGAATACAACAAACCCAAACAGCCCTTATGCGCAAATCACGGCTCGATTAGTAATCGGCCTCCCATAGCAAACATGGTGCCACTTCAATTCCTTCCTCATCGAGTGCAATTTCTAGCCTCTCTAATGAGCACTACCAATAACTGATGGAACTCTTGTAGCCTAATGCCAATGCCGTCTCTATCTTCTTCGGTGTCCCTCTCTCAATTGCTAAAATTCCTTGGATTATTGGTATTAGGACTTCAGCCCACATATCTTGTATTTCAAACTTGTCTAATGCCACATACATTTTGATTTACTATCAATCTCTCACACTACCCATGGGTTCCTTGACCCAAGTTACATATATGGGTCATATTCCAATTTTTTCTCACTTATATCTTTACAATGTTCTCTTAGGTCCTAATTTTGAATATAATTTGTTTCCGTTAGTCAACTTACTAAATCATCTAATTGTATTGTCATTTTTTCCTCTATTTGTTTAATTCATGACCAACACACCAGGAAGATGATTAGGATGGGTGAAGAACTTGGAGGCCTCTATCGTCTTAAGCAATTTACTCCAACTGCACTTCAAATCACGACCAATCCCACTACTATTCCTGACCTATGGCATCTTCATTTAAGTCATCATTAAATATTGTGATAGTTGTATTCAAGGCAAACACACATGCCTCCCTTTCAAATTGGTTGAGAATAAAATTACTTTTATTTTTAATCGCATTTATTGTGATATTTGATGCAGATATTCTACACTATCTATAACTGGTGTACACTATTTTCTTATAATTCTTGATGATTTCTTATGTGTTACTTCGAAATACTTCATGTGTTTTAAATCTAATGCATTTACTTGTCTTACCAACTTTATTAAAATGGCCCACACACAATTTAACTGCCCTATCAAACATTTTCAATCTGATAATGGTTGAGAATTTCTTTCTCATCTCATGCAACAATTCTTCCTTGACCATGACATCATTGATGAATGTACTTGTATTGAGACACCCCAACAAAATGGTGTGACTAAATGAAAGCACCATCACCTATTAAATATAGGTCAATGTCTTCGCTTTCATGCACATTTACCTATTTCCTTCTAGGGTGAGTAATACTTACTGCTACCTGTTTAATTAATTGCATACCAACCCCCTCTCTCAATAACAAAACTCCATATGACCTACTTTTCAACAAAGCACCTAACTATGATCACATTCGTATATTTGGATGTCTTTGTTATGCACACACTTTAAACGTCGATCGAGATAAGTTTTCCACTTATGGCACATCATGCATATTCCTAGGCTACTCTCAAACCCCACATACCTATTGTGTCTATGACTTACAAACCAAGAAGATATTTCTATCTCATGATATATGCTTTGTGAAATCTATTTTTCCCTTTGCTAATACCATGCATCATTGTAACCCCACATTACCATCCGCCATGATGAATAATCCACAATTGTTAGATGTGCCACGCACTACCTCACCCACGTCCCATGATTCACATAACGCTTCTGCCTCTTCTCCCCAGTCTTTACCCCAGCAGATATTGAACAACACAAGCCCTCACAACTAGATGATGATGGTTCTATCAATAACCTAGACACCGTCACATTCCCACCCCCATCCTTACCCCAACCATCTAGACATCGATGCACTATCACTAGTCCTATGTATTTTCAGGATTATATTTGCTCAAGTCTACCTTTGGAGGACTCATGTTCGTCATCCCATTCCGATCCTTTCTTAGGTATGGTTCACTCTTTACCTAATTTCCTCTTATATTTTCTATTTAGATCGAAACATTTTGCATTTCTCTCTTCTGTCTCCAAAAATGTTTAGAATCCTACTCTTTACTCTCAAGTTGTCCTTAAGCCTCATTGGCAAAAGGCCATTGCTGCTGAAATTCAAGCCTTGGAGATCAATCATACATAGGCTCTTGAAAATCTCCATCCTGGTAAAAAGGCCA